AGCCCTCTCGGGGGGAGGCCAGAGAGGAGCCCTTGGCTCAGAGGGGGATGGGGCCCTGCTCCTGAGCAGCCAGGGCGGGGGAGAGGGCAGTGGAAGAGGGCCTGTGCCTTCCTTGAGATGGGGTTCATCTTTGGGGGGGGTGTGGGGGGGGAAGTGGGGTCGCCTTAGCTGCTGTGGCATGGGGGAGTGTAATCCCTTCGGGGTGGAGAGGGATGTGCTTCTTGCCAGCTCCTACTGTCTGCCTCCGTCCCAACGTGAAAGAATCGTTTCTCCTGGGCTTTGATCAGAGCACCATTGCTCGAGGATAAAACATATATTTATTTCCTTTAAATATATTTTTGTAGCCGTTAAGACAAAGGGGAATTGCCTTTATAGATAGAAGGGCAGCCCTTGCAGGCTCTTGGGAGGGAGACCTTCCTCCTGCAAGAGGGAGAAGAACTATTGAGGGGAGTTGCAGGAAATGGGAAAAGGCTTATTGACCTCTTTTCTTCTGTGGGAGGCAGAGTGAGATACGTGTTTGATTACTGAGGTGTGGATTTGTCCGTCTCAATGGGATCTGGAAGAGCAGCTCTTTTGCTTCTTTAGGAGGCAAGTTAGGACAGATTAATAGATACTTCATTAAGTTTTCTTTAAATTATCCTAAGATCCCAATCTTAAGGTAATTTGCTGCTTGAACAGTGTTGACAAATGAATTGAAAATGCTTATTTGAAAGGTATGCTATTAAAAAAAAAAAAAAATCTTCTGTGTGGGACAGGTGTTTCTTCCAGCCAGACTGGTGGCGTTGGAGGTATCAGGATTAGAATATTTTACAGATGAGGTTTCTTCCCTCTTCCCCTAAAATTCCTGAATATGTGTGAATTTTTACTTAAATGTATTTTGTCTTTCACTCCCAAATGAAAACAGTAATGAAGCATTCTTCCTGTTATTGGTACGAAATGTACTAATCTAATCTTAGAAGTTGAAAAAATCTGCCTGTCTCTCTTTTTTTCTGTATCTTGAGGGGCAGAGAATCACAGGTCTGATCCCTGAGTAATTTCTTGGCTGAAAAAATGTGGCTATTAAAACTCCTGTCATCTGTAAAGTTGGAGAGACATATTGGGGCCCATGCTGATCTAGGCATCACAGTATTAAGGATCTTTGTCTCAAATTTCACCAATTCCTTGTAAGTTTTGTTAATTAAACACAGCATTATTGTGAAATATTAACACTAGCTCTCTTCTGGTAGGAGCTGAAGTTCGCCATATTGCTAAAGAGCCACAGGCGGTATGCTGAATTACTTCCTATTCTGTATTGTCACGTACTTATATTGACGTTACAGCAGTGATAGCATTGAGAGTTGTGGAGGATTCGTGCTGCAGAGAGCAATAAAAAGTCTGTGGGGTATGGAGGTCAGGCAGGTTTTGTTTTTCACTTTATGGACATCGTTCCAACGGCTAAGGCTTTTATTGTGTATTGGTCTTGATATTTCACTAAAAAAGGAAGAGGTTTTTTTTTTTCCCCCCTCAGCATTTTGCTTTTTTTGAAAAAACGCTAAGATGAATTCTTTGTCCTATTTTGGCTTCTTTATTTCGGGTTAAGGGGCAGGAGCAGCAAAAAGGGGCTGTGAAAGCTTTGATCCACCTGTGGGATGAGTTCAGCAGCACAGGGGTGGCAGCAGCAATGAAGGCTTGGCTGACGTTTGTTCACAGCCATTGAATTGTGCAGGCAACTGTTTGCCTGGCTTCACTGCATTCTGGATCAGGAAACAATCAAAATTCTAAAAAATAACATTTTGTTTCAGTCGTTTAAGCTAGAAGCAATGTCCTGAACATGTTTCCTAGTGCAATTTAGGAAATACACAGGGGGTAGGATGGAAAGTCTCCTCAGCACAGCATCACCATTGCAGCTCTGGTATCGGCCATCTGCCTAGAGGAACTGAAGGCGACTGCCGCTACGTGGTGGTGTGCTAGGTATGCTGGAGGAGGGGTGCGTTAGGGAAGTAGTGGGCTGCATAATGTTATGCTGAGAGAGCGAGGGAAGACTGATAATTCAGGCAGCCCTAGGACTTGCCCGTCTTGGCAGACAAGGGGCCAGCCTGCGTTTGAAAATGTGGGTAGAAAGTAGGGCTGCTGTTGGGCCTCTTGCCCTCTTCCCCGTCCCTCGCCAGTGGAAGCTCTTGTGCTGACTCTTACAAAGGAATGCACAAGAACTCATCCTTCAGTCAGGAAAGATCCTAGAGTGTTGTGTTCTAGAGAATCAGCCAGGCTTTAATGCCTCAAAAAATAAACAATATAAATATGAAACTTTTTGAATTCGACAGGAAAGCGCTTCAGACAGGAGCTCTGAGCCTGGTTAGTAAGTAAATGAGTCCAGAAAGTGAAACTGAATTAACAAAAAAAAATGCTGTTTCACTTTTGTAGAAGCTTACCAGTTTGAATACAGAACAGGCAAAAAAAAAAAAGGATTTTGAATATATATTCAACTGGTTTTAGGTTTTGCAATTAATAACCTGCGTTAGGGTTTCATTTTACTTTGAAGCACGCTCACGTGATTGGTTTGAGTCCTAATATTCCTGCGCCTTAGAAGATTGTTCTAGTCATAAATCGGAAAGAAAGCATCTCAAACTTAAGATGAGCTCAAGCTTTGTGAATATTACCATATCATGCATTAAGCTGCTTATTTAGTCTTTGTGGTGGAGTGAATGCTGATACATAAATATTTTTCCCAAAT